GCTGATTCTTTGCCCATATATAAAAAGATGTTTACAAGAAATTTTTTATTTCTTTGCTAATAAAATTTTAACACTATCTCTAAATCAATTTGAAGTTTTATTTCAAGAGATCCCTTCCTTGTTTATATTCATTTTCAAACAAAAACTTGGCTTTCTGTGACCTAAAAAAGTCAAAAAATACTTTCTTTACTAATGGCAAAAAAGTTCAGCAAGGAAGAAAAACTAATAGTATAATACTTGAAACCTTTTATATTAAAGTATATCTATAGAAATTTTTGGTAGTAAAAAGTGTCAAATATCAAATCATATTTTAAGGTGTCTATCTACTGTATATTTCCTCTTGTAGTCATTCAAAAAATTTTTTATTTTCTGGAGAATTTTGTCTATTTCAGTTTGATCCTAAATTTTAGGTAACACAACTTATTTTAAAATATAATTGATAGATATAAAATATATTCGTAGCTTAATTAAACAAGTATCTACTGGTCCCTTTACTTTAATAATGTCATTGATGAAAAAAAAAGAATTTATTGATATGAAATTCTCCACTCCTTCAAATGAAATATAATGAACTAAACAAATAATGAGATCATTAGAATAGGTATTAAATTTCCTAGATAGTAAAAGATGATTATTTGTTTAAACTAAGATCTTCAACTTTTTATTATTCTAGTTAGGCAAAGTACATGAAAAAAATTATTTTCTTATTCCAGTTAGACAATAAAATTGAAAAGCAGAAGATTGTAAACTATTACCCTTCATTAGAATTGAAAATACATTTTTCAGATATTGTGTAATGATTTCTTAATCAACAAAAATTCTTACTACTTTACAAAAATCCTCTTATATTGCAAGGCAGAAAAATTGTTGAGAAATCTAACTTTTTAAGCAATGGAAGATACTTATTAGTAAAATTCCTTTAACTAGGTGTAACTGTTAGAAGATATTGATAGTTATATGATATGATTGAAAGGTTACATAAGAATCTGGGATCTATAATAAATCATTGTTTAATACAGATAGATATAAAATTAATATTAAAAAAAGGAAGTAATAAGCAAGACATTGGATTCAAGTAGATAATAAGTACTTCAAATAATTGTAAGAAAATTATTAAGATCATGAATAAATAAGTTTCTTAGATAATTAGAAAGAAGAAAAATATCTCAGAAAGGTTAATTCTTAATAAGAGAAGATTTCTAGTTGAGATTCTTTGAAGGACATGGAATACTTTTATTTATTTTTTTCTTTTTCTCTTCATGTATGCATATTTATATACTTTTAAATATTCTCCTTCTTTCTATTTTTTCTTTTCCTTATTGTAGTTTCTCGAAGTTAGTTCCTTAGAGGATAATAGGTAATAATAATATACTAACAATAATAGGTGAGTTAAGAGAGTTTTTATCTCAAACTTATTTCAGAACAAAATATTATCTTCAAGATTACACTTAAAGGCTTAAGTTTATTTAAGATTTAAAAACTATTGATAAGTAAGTTAGCATATGATTTAGTTTAACCCTTATATAATTGTCCAATATATCTCTATCAATTTTTTTAAATATTAATAAATATATTATACTAGTCTAATTACAAGTTTAAAAAAAAAATTTTATTATTAATTTATTATAATAGATTATTATAAAAAATAATAAATTATTAAATTAATAAACTAAAAAAAAAAAAACAATTTAAATCTTTTAAAAGATATTTATTAAAGTAAATAATTTTTTCAAAAATTTTTTTATTTAATTAAAATATTATTTTATTTAATTTTTTATTATTTGAAAAACTTATTTATTAATTATTAAGACTATATATTATCTAAAAAACTTATTATCTTGAGTTTTTTAAATAGAAAGTTTTATCTTATATCTTTTATTTATAATATTTGAATTTATAATTTAATTAAAATAATAGTATTAATAATGTTTTAATTTTATTTAATTAAATAAAAACTTAGAAGTCTTAATTTTTTTGAAAAAACCTTTTTATTATTTAAAAACTTAATAAAATATAAAAATACTATATTATATATTTTTTACTTTTTTTTTTGATATTATTATTGTTTTTTTTATACTTATTTAATTGAAAAAAAATTTTTTATAGACTTTTTTTTCTTATTATCAATAATATTAATAGATGTTTATTTATATTTTAAAAATTAATATGTTTTATGTTAACCAATTATTTTTGATAGGAATTATATTATTTAAAAGTTTAGAATTAAATTTGAAATAAATAAATTTTTTTAGAAAACTATAAAATAAAAATTTTAAAAAAATTCAGACAATAAAAAATAAGTTTTTTTTATTGCATGATACTTTGTTTTAAAGATAAAAAAATTTGTAGATATTTTACAATAGTTTTTTCTTTAAGATAAGTAAATATCTTTTTTATATATAATTTAAGAATTAGTCTTTTAAAAAATTATAAATAATAATAACTGTTTTATAAAAGTATTTGAGTCTTTGTATTTTATAAAACTTTTTGCTATTAATAAAAATTTTTTTATTTAAATTATATATTAATTATTAGAAACTCAAGTTATTTCAAAAAATATGAAAACTTTATTAATAAAAAAATAATCTTTAGGTAATATAAAAAATATTTATTTAATTGTCCCTTTCTAATAAAACTTGTAAGAATAATTGATTATTTTTAATAAAGGTTATTAACAACATTTATATAAACCAAAACGGCTATAACCAGAAATGATATGATTAAGAGATCTAATTTAATAGATGACACTAACAGATCAAGAAATTTCAACGATAGCCACCGAAGATAATAACCATGAATGCGATGTAGAAAAAGTTAATACTTTAGTACCCACGAGTGCCGCTCAGGCTGTGCTGGTTCACTCAACGCCCATGCCAGAGAATGCTATCACAGTTGTAGGCCCGGATTTCAATAAAAAATTATCGATTGATAAACTAATAAGTAGTTATGAAAGAATTGGTTATCAGGCAACAAGTGTTGGAAAGGCTATACAAGTTATTAATCAAATGGTAGATATCTATTTATACCTACTATACATTTACCGTCGATAACAATAAATAAGATTTTTTAAATGATAGAGAAAATGGCGATTATCGGATGAACCAATATCGCCTGACGAGAGTGATGAATATAAACTACCGGACATACGATCAGCCACCAAATGTAAAATATTTCTTGGATATACCTCAAACCTTGTGTCCTCTGGTCTTCGTGAAATTTTTCGATTTTTAGTTCAACATTCGCTCGTGGATGTAATTGTCACAACTGCGGGCGGCGTTGAAGAAGATTTCATCAAGTGCTTGGGGTCCACGTATCTAGGAGATTTTCATTTACCAGGTGCTCAGTTGAGAAGAAACGGAATGAATCGAATTGGTAATTTGTTGGTACCTAACGATAATTACTGTAAATTTGAGGATTGGGTGGTGCCCATCTTAGATAAGCTATTGGAAGAACAGAGAAATGAAGTAATTTGCATTATATTATATCATGTTTATTTTATTCAAATATATTTTATTTAATGTCACGTACATATTTTTGTTTAACAAATGGAATAATATGGTCCCCATCGAAAATTATTGATAGGTTGGGTAAGGAAATTGATAATCCTGAATCAATATATTATTGGGCGCATAAGGTAATAAGTATGAAAGTTGAAATACTTTTTTTAAATTTCGCTAATTAATTTATTATTAATGTACTATTAGAACAATATCCCAGTATATTGTCCGGCTATCACTGATGGATCACTGGGAGATATGATTTATTTCCATTCATTCAAAAATCAAGGGCTTGTTATAGACTTAGTGTCGGATATAAGATCAATGAACAATCAGGCAGTTTTTGCTAAGAAAACCGGAATGATTATACTGGGAGGAGGATTGGTAAAACATCATATATGTAATGCAAATCTTATGGTGAGTGGTAAAAGTCGAACTCTATTCTTTCGAACATGGAAATGTTAAATTCACAATGATTGTATTTAAAGAGGAACGGAGCGGATTATGCGGTTTATATAAACACTGGACAAGAATTTGACGGAAGTGACTCGGGAGCAAGGCCAGATGAAGCTGTTAGTTGGGGAAAAATCAGAATGGCGGCCGAATCAGTCAAGGTAATGTATCATTATTATTTATTAAAAAGCATATTATCAAGGAAATTATTGGCGAATAAAGAATCATTTCTCTCTTTTCTTTAACATAGGTTTATTGCGATGCTACTATCGTATTTCCAATTATTGTGGCAGAGACTTTTGCTAAAGATTTTAATGATCAACAGAAATAAATGTTGCTGCTGAAATGTTTTATGTTAACATAAATAATTAAGGCTTTTAAAATCTATTTTTTTTTTTTTTTTTATCCCGAAAATTTTATATAGAACTTTAGAGCACTCATTACATATATGAATAATATTGTTTTTCGCTTTATCTCATAAAAATTGAACAAGTTATCATCAAAGATTAGTATATTTGTTATGCAATCTAATTCATAGCAATTCGTTAAATTAAATCTTTTAATCGATCAAAGAAAAATTTTATTATACTGTGTATTAACTTTATATAATTGAATTTAAAATATTATATTTGAATGGTTTATATTATAGTAAACAAAAAAAAATTATTAATAAAATATTTATTAGAATAAAAACTTAATAAGTAAAACAATTTATAAATTTATAGAAATATATATATGAAATTTTAAAAATAAACGATTTCTAAAAAATAATAATATTTTTTAAAATTCTTAGTTAAATTAATAAAAATTGATATAAATATCTCTTAAATTTATTAAAAAATTTCTGTTTATATAATTTTGAAAAAGAAAGTTAATCTTTATAAACAAAAGTAATTATCTTGATTTTTTTTTTTGTTAATCTGTAACTATAATATATAACTTATTTTTTTTTTTTGAATATCTATAGCCAGGCTAGATTGTTAGTTTATTAAAACATAAGTACATTTTTATTTGAGCAGCATGATACATACTATAGCTAAACTATTATTCTAATCTAACTAACTCATTGTGAGCATAAAAGCCTCTAAGTTTGGCCTTAGAAACAATATTTTACTCTGTAATGTTTTTGGGTAAAAACCCTTCTAGTCCATTGTATTATTATTAGTAGGTTGTTACTGACATATGTTTGATCAAGCTGCTGGAATACAGAAAACTACAAAAGAATAAGTTGAAAAAGGTGAGGAAAATATCTAAAAATGTTTAAGTAGACAACAAGAAAATGAAAGAATAAAAATTAAAAAAAAAATTTCTAGCTTCTTTCAAAGACCTGCTTCTTAAGATCTTTTCTTAATAAGAAATATCCGATTGAAATATAATTTCTTTTTTTGATCATCTAAGGAACTTATCCATTCTTGATCTTGATTTTCTTCTTGTGTACCATTAGAGAAAACTTATTGTCTAGTAAAAGTCTTTATTTCCAGGATACACTTGATCCTAACCTTATTTGAGTAATGATTTTTTATCTATTTGTGATAGAAAAATAACTTATGATGGACTTCAGATTTTTATATGACCTAGTAAGGACTAGATCATATTATTTCAGTATGATACCTTTCAGTAGCCACACCTAATTAAAGGAATTTTACTAATATACATCTTTCATTATCCAAAAGGCCAGATTCTCCAATAATCCTTTTAACTTGTAATAGTAGAAGGGTCTTAAGAGTGGTGAGGATTCTCATTAATTGTGATATCCTTCAACAACTTCTGAAGAAATGGATTCTCAATTGTAACCAAAGGGTTAAAGCTTAGCATAAATTAGAGATCATTCAATCTTATTGTCTAATTAGAATAAAAAGAAGACCTTGGTCTTGAACTTTGTCTAATTGAAATAATAGGAGAAAAAAACCTCAACTTGAACAAATAGCAGCTTTTTTTACTACCTGGGGACTTGTTGCTTGTATTTTATTGGCCTCATGGAACTTGATCTGTAGGTTAACCCAATTGGAGAAGTGGAGTGAACACAGAGTACCAATTAACTTTTTTTATTACCAATGACATCATCAGAACTCATATAGTAATTAATAGGAGATTGTTTACATTCAGTTACTAATATATTTCATATTGATCAATCAGATATCAAGTGACATTGTGCTAACAGAAATTCAGAGTCAAACTGAGGTAGGCAAAATTCCTCAAGAAAACCATAAAAAACAGTATACTTTAAGAGAGTATAAGACAATATATAAGAAGATGAATAATAAGCCTTTTCTTATCAACAAAATCTCTATTTCTTGTCACTTCTAGCTCTGTAAGGTGATACTCTACTTGTCAGTCCTTTTATTTCCTAAAACCTTCTTGTTCTTAATAGAAGAAGTATATACTTGAGTCTTTTCAGGCCACTAGAGGCTCAAGTTTTTATTTAAAGGAGTTTATAAACAAGTAAAGGAGGATAGGAGAGATACATGAAGACAAGTTTCAAGTTGTTTTAATGAAAGTATAAAGACTTTATTAGCAAAGAAATATAAAACTTCTTGTAAGCATCTTTTTTGTGTGTGGTCAGAAAATCAGTGGAAAGCCATATAGCTTAATCTTTATTGAGAAGTTTATATAATTATCTATAATATTATTCAACTCTTTTTACTGATCCTCTAGTTACACACAAAAAAAATATTTGCAAGAAGTTATTATATTTCTTTACTAAAAAAGCCTTAACATTTTCCTTAATCAACTTGAAAAAAAACTCAAGAGTCATCACCACACTTCCCTCCCTTTTGTAAACATTTCTCTTTATACAAAAACATAACTTTTATTAATCCAAACCATGAAACACCTTTTTTATCAATGGCAAGAAAGTTCTGAAAGAAAAAAGAATTGAAGTGTTTTGGTCCTTCCACTTAATAGAAAAATATTATAGAGCTATATTTATAATAAGAAACTCTTTAGAACAGACCCACCTATTCTCAAGTTATAGTAAATGCTTTAATAGTACTTATTTTTGATTTTTCTAAAGAATTTTGCCTATTTTAGTTTGATCCTGAATTTTGGATAGCACAAAGTTTCTTATACAATAATAAAAGAATATAAACAAGTCCCTATTGGTCATTTCATATATCTCAAATGCATTTCTTTAGCTTTATAAGAACCTAGAATTCACTATAAGTTATTGGCTCTGATGTGGGTGGATACAAGACATACTATCACACAAGTCATTGACCATCTCCAGAAAGAGTCCATCCAACCATAGTAAAGATTATAAGATATTATATCTAATTTTTAGAGATATAGTTATCTATCTCTGATCATTAGATAGATTCTTCTTAACTCCATTGAATAAGTAAAGATTTGAAGATAAGGTACTGGTTTCTCAATCTATTCCTTTGCTCGACTTTTAGAACACTAAGATAGATTATATGAATAGTGGCCTTTATTGCTCTGTTATACAACAATAAGGATCAAAGAAAATAGTCTATAGATTGACCTACTGATATTAATATATACATTCCTATCCTCAATCTTCTTCCATTTCTAAATGAGATTAAATTCACATTTTCTTCCCCATATCTTTTCAAAAAAGTAACTCAGTAGTTATTCTAAAGATTTCCTTCTTTCTACTGAGTATTAGTATTTTATTTCCATATATGATCGCATTGATGTTTTGAGAGCTTCCATAAGAAAACACAAGTCAGTTACCAAAGGCAATAGCTGAAATTCTTGCATTTTTCAGGAACTTAGGTAAAAGAATCTGAAACACAACTGATATTGCACAAAAATTATTGGAGAATCTGAAATACAATCAAACCATGTACTGGTATTTTCACTATTATATATGAATAGATGTTCAGTACTATCTAAAAAGTTTTAATGAATATTCTAAACAAAAATTTTTTCCCCCCTGTATAAGTTACATAGCAAGGAATTGTACATATAGATTAACCATTCTATCCACTATTTATTTTTTGACCTCCTTTCTTCCTCCTTTTAAAATTTTTTTAGCATTAGTGGTCTTTTGTTAGTTTTCACTTTAGAAATAACAACATATCCAAGGATGATCAGTATAGTCATATCATTAGCTTTATAGGTTTACAATTATATTTTTAACATGTACTATATTGACATTTAAAAACTATATCCAATAAAGTAAAGTCTAAGCTGACATTTAAAAAAAAATCTATATTATAAATTTTTTATATGATTATTAACATTATTATATTAAAATATTCTAAATTAGATCTAGAAAATAATATTTTATTTATCTAGAAAATTGATCTATAAATCAATAATATAGTAATTAGCATTTCATAAATCAGATTATAAAATACAAGTTTAAATTTTATAGAAAATATAAACATATATTCATTAGTTTAACTATATATACTGTATATATAATATTTTCAAATATAGTTATTGATCAGTAGAAAGGAAACTTATTGGTCAAATAGATGGTCTATATAATGATTATAATTGAACCAATCTTCAAAATTAAATTAAGAACAATTTTGAATTGATAATATTGCTCTTAAGGCAATAAAAAAAACAGACTCAATTGATCAATAAAGTGCTTTTGAAGAATAGTATATAAATCATAAATACTGGATAATAAAAGAAAAACTTTATTTTTATACTATAAACACTTTTGAAAAAAGAAATAAGTGATGTAATAGAAGGTCTAAAGCTAACTTGTCAGAATACTGAGGCAAGATAAACAAAAGATGCCATTAAAAAGGCCCTAGAACAAAGGTGTAATGATTTGTGAAACAATCAAAGAAGAATAGTAAACTTTTTGACAGAGAGGGAGCAAACTAAAATTGTGTTGGATAGAGTCAAAATCAAAAATGAAAAAATAACTACATAACAACTAGAAAAAAGGAAATAGAAAAAGAGATAAGACAATATTATCAAGAAGCATTCAAAACATGAGATGCTAACTTTAATAGCCTAACAGATGACTGAAAAGAAGAATATAGTTCCAGAAACTATATTAAAGAAAAATGGTATAAGGATCTTTTAAAACTGATTTCTTAAGAAGAATTAGATGAAACACTCCGAGCACTTCCAAATAATAAAGCCCTAGCAAAATTACAAATTAGTTAAGAAATATTAAAAAGATTAGATTCAAAAGGGAAACTTTACTTGGAAAAAATGTTGAACTGCTTTTTAAAATGAGAGATCATGCCATACGAATAGAAGAAAATCATATTTATCTAATAGTAAAACCAAAGTCATAGGAGTGTAAGCTTATCAATACAAGACCAATAGTCTGCTAGAAGCTACATGAAAGTGTTTCACTAAAATCCTCACAAATAGACTGGGAAATATCTGTAAAAGCAA